AGATTTTTTTTTTTTTTTTTTCCCCCCCCCCCCCCCCCGGTTTTTGTGTGTGTGTGTGCGTGCGAATTTTGAATGGAAATCTTAAAGGGTTAGGGCTCAGGAATATCTGTTTATAACAAGTATCCCAGGTGATGCCCATTAAAATTTGAGCCCAACTACCATGCACCAACTGAAATTCCACATGAATTAGTTGAAGCTCAAAAAAAGTTAAATCATAAAAGTCCTAGAATATAATTATTCATGTGAATTTGTGTTTTATAAAAATTTTTATTATTTTTTTTACATTCTAAGATATTGCAGAGCAGTTGGGGGGAGGGGTAGAGAGGAAGAGGGAGGGGATAGGGTGAGAGTAAGAGGAACAGAGGGGCAGGGTTGAGGCCTGTGGCACCCTCCTCCTTCCAACAGGGAAGCCCAGGGGGCTTCCAGTGGTGTCTGGGTCATGGCTTGGCTACATGTGGACTTCGGGGGGGTGTGGCTGAGGCCCGAGGCCCCTCATCACCCCAGCTTGTGAGCCCAGGGCACTTCTGACAGTGGCCTGGCGGTCATCACTGGGCTGGATGCAGACATCGGAGGAATGTGGCTGAGGACCTCAGCCCTCCCCGCAGCCCAGCTTGGGAGCCTGAGGGGCTTCCAGTCCATCTACGTTTCATAGGTGTTCTCTGGTGGTAGTAGACCTTTACTGGTTTATCCCCCGCAGCCCAGCTTGGGAGCCTGAGGGGCTTCCAGTCCATCTACGTTTCATAGGTGTTCTCTGGTGGTAGTAGACCTTTACTGGTTTATCCCCCGCAGCCCAGCTTGGGAGCCTGAGGGGCTTCCAGTCCATCTACGTTTCATAGGTGTTCTCTGGTGGTAGTAGACCTTTACTGGTTTATCCCCCGCAGCCCAGCTTGGGAGCCTGAGGGGCTTCCAGTCCATCTACGTTTCATAGGTGTTCTCTGGTGGTAGTAGACCTTTACTGGTTTATCCCCCGCAGCCCAGCTTGGGAGCCTGAGGGGCTTCCAGTCCATCTACGTTTCATAGGTGTTCTCTGGTGGTAGTAGACCTTTACTGGTTTATATCAACTTTGTCTCTGATCTGTGGGTGTTTTGTGTCTTCCTTCAGTTCTGTGTTGGATTATTAGCTACACCACCAACTTAAACTCTGCACTGGAACTAATTTGTTGCCCTTTGCTTACTTCTAAAATGGGGAAACTTCTTGTGGGAACCAGCACTTAAGCCCTGTAGTTGAGCTAAATTGCTGCTTTGCTGCTGATTCTCTGGGGAAGGCTTTTTGTGCAGCTCGGGTTTTAATTTTTGACTTTGTAAGCACTTCTGGGTCTTGTGAGGTCTGGTACACCTGGGTTGTGTGGAAACTCTGGTCTGAGCCTGAGTCCTTTCAGCAATCTACACCCCTTGCAGTTCTATATTCCTGACCCGTCTCCACTGAGTGGGCCTGTGCTGATTGGAGGGCAGATCAGCTGTCCGTGCTGTGCCCCAATGTTCCCCTGTCTCCCTGTGAGGAAAATGGAGACAGACTGGTCAGGCTCCCTTACCTCATATCTGGCTCAGCATGACTCAGCCTGTCTGATGTAAATACGTTAACTGCGTGTGTGTGCCCAGGTGTTTCTTGGTTATCTGACTCTAGTATAAAAGACAATGGCTCTGATCTGTTGGAGGCTGAGCTTGCATCTGAATAAAGCATGTCAACTTTGTCAACAGCTCCCAGGATCTTTCTCCAATTACCTAGCTTGCAACCTGCATATGAGGGGTCTGTGACCCAGTTTGCACAGGATGGGTTTGAAGGGTCAGTGACCCAGCCCGACACTCCCCCACTGCCCACACTCCAAACACTTCCCATAGTATGGGCCATGGGCCTCACTGGCCTCTGAGTAGCTCCTTTTTCCAGTTGTCTGTGGCCCCTCACTCCTATGTGGGTCCATGGGAACCCTGTTAGTGGTCTTGCTGGCCTGGGAGCCACCAAGGCCCTCTTCTCCTCTGCAGCCTCCAAACAACTTCATATGAAAAGCACAAAAGCGGCTTTTGCCAGCTCTTGCTCCATGTGCTCACCAGGGCCAGCCTTGAAGTGGTCGGGGCTTGAAATGGTTGGAACAGTCCTTTCTTTCTCTCATACTGGCTTCTCCTGCCTTCATGAACTCTGTAGGTCTCTCCTCCTCTTCCCCTGAGCTTTGCCACCCCAGCTTGGAAGTCGTTGCTTTTTAATAGTTGTAAATTGGTTGACTATGGGAGAGAGTGACACTGGGGACCATCTATTCTGCCATCTTGATTCTGTTAAAAAATAATTTAAAATAACAAAAATTGTGCATTCAGTATGATGTTAAATGTGTAAAGAAATGCACTGGAATAAAGACTGGAAGGAAATGTGCCAAATGTTTACAGTGATTTCCTCTTCATAGCAGGCTTGGGGGTGATTCATTTTTTGGCTTCTTTTCCATTTTTGTGCTCCCCAATCTTTCTACAGTGAATACGCATTACACTGATAATAATAAAAAAAAAGGAAAATAGAGGAAAAAGCGAGTTGATGAATCTCGGTTAAGCCCCCATAGTCCAGACTCTGAAACTGAAAACTAGATTTTATCAGTTCATGTGGAAGTGATTAGACTGCATAACTAACTTGTACTAAGCAGATTTACAGGAGGCTGGCTTACATGCCAGATGCCAGTGAGGAATATCTACTGTCTAGGGTCACACCTGCCAGTCACTTGTAATTTGAACAAATGGAACTGAATAGTTTTGAGGGGGTTCTTTGATTGGGTTATTTATGACTAGACCAGTGTTCCTGTTACTTGAACAGTGCCATCTAAAGATGCCCCAATGTTTTTCTTCTACACCATCTCTAGTTATCAGAATCTGTCATTACAATATTACCTGCCTACTATCCTCATTACATGTCACAGTTTCCAAGGTAACAGCTCATCTTACATGAATTGAATTCTATATTGGTAGCTCCCAGGTGAGGTATTGGAAAGCATCTTAATTTCATCTGCATATATCTACAAATTATATTTACCAGAAGTCATTTCTGGGAAGAGTTAGATGGCTAGTTTCATCTACTGTGAGCCTTTTTAAAAATTTTTCAATTTTTCAATTGAATCTATCACTTCCTGATTTATGTGTCTCATTTTTTTTCTAAACTGTCTCTCTTAGGTTGGAGATAGACATTGCTTTTGGGGCCCTTCAGTTTGCTGATACACATGAAGAGTTTTTTTGGGGATGCAACTTGCAGGTATGGGGATCCGAACCCTTGACCTTGGTGTTACAACACCGACACATCAACAGTTTTTGATGATAGGAGAATGTCACTGCCACTTACAAAAATAGAGAAGTCATAGAGGAAGTCTTTTAGGAGGAGGAGGAGATAGTGGAATGTCAAGTAAGGTCCAATGAGCATGTAGTGAAAGAGTTAATGTAATAGGAACATTCTTATGCTGTATGTGGGAGGAATTACCCTAGAAACTGTCAAACTACCTAGCTACCTTTACACTTCTGGTTTCTAGGGTAACAGATATTTACTACCTTACATTTGCATGGCTGGTTGCCATGTTCATTTTCTCACTTAATAAGGTCCCAACCCTTTGCTTTTTATAGTATAGAAATTTGCAATTCAATGTTAATAGCATTCCAATACTGGTGGCTCATTCCTCAGAGCTAGATGTAGAGACATAACATAGGAACATCCATCCTATGCTCTGCTGGACATTGGAATGACTTCAGTACATGAACCTCAGCTTTATGCCTGGGACTCAGAACCAAGGGCACAAATTCTTTTTTTTTTTTTTATCAGAAATTTATTGTTTCAAGGTAGTTCCCATGGTGCTGTTCTGGCTCCGTCCCCTGTTCTCTCTAAGGTAAATGGCCCAAGGGCACAAATTCTGCAACTACCTAGAGGCTTTACTTTCGATTTAATTCAAATCATCCTTAGCAAACCCCTGATAAAGACACATGTCTCTGCTTTCTTTCCTGATGCTATGCACCTGGATTTCCTTCAGGAGCCATTGTTGGGTTGAATGGGATGGTAGGACTAGATTGCTTTTAAGGTACGTCCCCACTTTCATGTTCCATGATTCTGTGATGAAACTAGTAGATAAAATATTTTCTGCCCCATCCCCATCGAGTTGTTAAGATGTGGTGTTTGGTTTCTGAACTTAATAATTAGAATTTTTTCCAAAGAAACTCAATCATGTTGAAAATGAAAGTGATTATCCAGAACAGCCCTTATAATAAGAGTATCCAACAGCTATCAAATCCTTCTTTTGTGCCTCGTACTTTGCTAAATGCTCTATGTGCATGACCCCATGTGGATACCTATTTTACAGATGAGGTGGCTGAGACAATGAGGGATAAGTAAGTTGTCCAAGGTCACACGTGTAAGTGGTGGAACCGGAACTTGAATTCTGACATTTAATGCCCATGTCTCCACTCTTAGTCTTTTAGCCAGTTGTTCTCAAGCTTTAGTGTGCATCAGAATTCCCTGGATGGCTTGTTAAAACACAGTTTCTGGGTCTCATTTCCAGAATTTCTGATTCAGCAAGCCTGAGAATATGCATTTCTAATAAGTTCCCAAGTGATACTGATGTTGCTGGACCAGGGATCACACTCTGTTTTGTACTCCACTGCCTCTTGGCAAGGGCAGAGGAGTATACTTACCCCTGTAATGAAGCAAGAAGAAATTTGTGCTCAATAGATGGTTTGTATAGGGATCCTGGGGGGAAGTTCTGATCTGCTTCTGTCTCTTTAAGAAGACCAGACGACTGGCTAGAGACTCCATTCTGGGGGAGAACACAGCACATAAGCTACACTCAGAGAACACAATACTTTTGTAAAGAGCTGGACATATCCTGGATTAAGTCAGCTTCTAACTTAGTCCTGACTGCTACCATAAGCTGATGCATGTGCAGTGTCATCTTAGTTCACTTTTGGAAGTAACTCAAAAAGTTAAAATCAAAGAGCAGTATTTGCCAACTATAGCTACCTGTCAGTTGAGGTTTTGCTATAACTGACACATTCAGCCCGATTCTGTGGAGTGTCTCGATTAGCACTATCTAGTGAAGGCGAGGAAGGGGCCGTTACCATGCAAGCTCTTCTCAGAGCTTTGTTCATACCTACCATATAAAGAATATATATTACCTACAGTAGACAGAGAGAACAAGTTGAACATAACACCTTACCATAACCTTGTTTCTCTTTTCACTTTAATTTTTCCATCTGTGCCTTGTATTTCGCTGAGATACAGCTGAGGTCACTGAATTTTTAAGCAACAAAGCAAAAATATAGTGCAGTGTTCATTAGTGTGGCTGCACATTAGAATCACTTGGGAAGCTTTTTTTTTTTTAAAGTACCAGTGCCAGAGACCTCACCCTATTCCAATTACATCAGAATCTCTGTGGGTGGGCCGAGATACATGCACTAAAAACAAATTTCCAGGTGATGCTAATGCCAGCCAAAGTTAAGAACCAGCAGCGGTCAAGAAAACAGGCTCTGCTGCCGTGCAGATTCTATTTCTAGCTCTGCTACTTATGAGAGGATGACCTTGGGCAAATGGCCTAACCTCTGAGCCTCAATTTCCCCGTCTATAAAAATTAGCATAATGGAATCTGCTGGACTTGTTTCACAGACTGTCATGAGGATTGAAGGGGCTGATATACCTAATGCACTGTAATTGTACAATGCTTAGCACAGAGTGATCGCTTCCTAGATGGTAGCTACTGATAAAATGAAGGCATTCCCACTTCAGCCTACAGAGCAAGTTATGATGCCATGACCCTATGGGAGATGTGGGTGTTGTACCCATTCTGCTATGAATCTCACAGTCTTTCATTGGGGTCCACTGTGATAAGGTAAAAGACTCCACAGAACATCTGCCTGGTACATATCACAGTAAACCTCTCATAACGAATGGGGGAAATCTTTGGATAAAAGACCAAGTAAAAGCAAACCAGAAATGAAGTAAACTTAAACTCTGAGAGCAGCTTATGAAGTATCCTGAGGAAATAATAGGCCATTTGGAGTTCTCAGGCCACACTTTGAGAACCACTGAAAGAGTGCATGATGGCCTGTACTGGTGGCCTCATGAGCAGTCACCCCCAAATTTCCAGAGTATTCAGGGGTCACAATACAAAAACCTTATGTCTATTGCCTAATATCTTACTAGCTTTACACATTTGTTAACTCCTTATCCCCTGTAGGAGTGTGAGTTTGTGACCCCTGATGCAGTCAACACCTGGAGACCTTTAGTTGAAGCAAAAACCTACAAGAATCCAAGATTTAGGATGTAAGAAATGAAGTGGAACAAAGCAGAATTTCTCAGGCCCCAAGAGAAAAAGAGGACAACCTCTTTGTAGAAACCAGGTATTGGACCTCAGCTGTTTCAAGTTAAAGAAAAAAATCCAGTATTGTACCCATATTTCACCTTCAGAGCCACATAAAGAGTATCATCTCAAAGCAATAGCCAGTATTATAATAAATGAGAAAATGAAAGTTAGTAAGAACACGGTAGTTACTAAAATGGGCTTTTGGTTTCAGATCAACCTAAGTTTCAAACCCTAGCCCAGGAACATATAGGTATGTGACTTTGAGCAAATTGCTTGATCAATAAAAGCCTAATAACAGTTCTTACTTTTGTGGGTTGTTGTAAGGAATGAATGAGACTACGTATGTAAAACATCTAAAATAGCACATGTCTAAAGGTGGATCAAGTGCTATACTGTCCACCTAACCAGAAAAGTATCCCAAGGCCGAAAACAAGATAGGCCACTCCATGCAATAAAGCAAAGAACTTCTTTACAGGGTAACTTACAGAGTAATGGGTCAGGCGACAACCCAAATGCATATGCCAAACTCCTCTCTGCACTGTCTCAAGACTGGGCTCAGGTTTATATGGGTAGTTCATAAGCAAACTTAACATTACTAGCACCAAATATTGATGCAGGTGGCCAGGCCGGCTTGTCACCACACCGGTACTTAATCATTCCTTTTTTTTACAGTCAGCAGATTATTCCTATCTATTGTTCTAACTCCTTTCCCCTAGTTATTGTATAACTTTATGTGCAAAGTTCTCACAAAGGAATAACAAGCAGTAAAGGCCTAAGATGGAGTCAGTTATGCTCACAGTCCCACAGCACATGACACATGGTGAACCCTCAGTAAAGGATAGCTCTCTACTAACTAAAAACGTTCTCACTAGAGTCAAGGACAAAGCTAGGCTGCTGCTATTTACAAGTGCTTAACAGTGTTCTGAGTAACCAGTACCATCTTTAGACCTGGGCAAGAGGGGCTTCTGCCCTTTGGCTTATGCTAGAGGATAACTCATATTACAAATACTCAAAAATAAATTTATTAAAGAAGACACAGGCACTTGTGTCATTAGGATCCAGTGCTCAGTGTTGGCTCAGCACAACACGTAGCCCTAAGTCTCCTCTCTCATGATTAACATCATTCGAACTTAAGGGGAATACTTCCTATCTCTTGATCTGTGTACTTGAAACAAAAGGCAAATGCTTCCAAATGCCATTGTGAGTTATGCTGCTGCTGATGATGTCAGACACTTCTTGGGAGTACAGAGAGAATTTGAGCAGCAAAAGTGCTTAGTAAGAGAAAAGACAAATTAACTTGTCAAATCCTTCCTCTCTCAATAGCAATAGATTCTTCCATAACAATGATTGTTTCCCAGTAGTAATAAGTATGGGCTTTCTTGCTTCTCTTTGTGTTTCAATTAATGGCTCCTTGACATCTAGTGAGTGGACCTCCACCTATATTTTTGCCCCAGGCCAGGCAAATGTTAAAAGCTGGCCGGTAGCTAATACAGGAAGATGTGAAAAAGAAATGATGAATAACTATTGGAAGGGAGACACAAATCATCATTATTTGCAGTTGATTGTCTATCCAGAGAACACCCAAGGGAATCAATTGAAATACTCAAAAATTTAACAAGAATTCAGAAAATAGTTCAGCAAAGTGGCTGAAGAACAATCAACAGTTTTTCTGTAAGCCAGCAACAACCAGCTAGAAGACATAATGGGGAAAAATGCATTCATGATGACACACACACAAAAAATTCCAGCATAAAATCCCTAGGAATAACTTTTCAAAAAATGCATAGGTTCTACACAAAGAAAACAAGGATGTTTGTGTATCTCTTAACAACTAGGATTTTAATAAATGGAAATTGGTACCCTATTCCTGGATGAGAAAACTAAATTTTGTAAGACATCAATTTTTAAAAAATAATTAGATGTTTAATTCAACCCAGTCAAAATTCAAAGTTACTTAACCTTAATAAAGTGTTTCTAAAGTTCACCTAAAAGAATAAATAGGGGAGAATGGCTAAGAAATTTTTGAAAAAGAAAAATAATGATAGGAGAGTTGGCTTACAAGATATTAAAATATACGCACAGATTATGATACATAAAACATTTTAGTACTGTCACAAGAATCAACAAACAAGTTGACAGAACAGAAAGTCTTAAACTGACCTAGTAAAAAGATAAGAACCTGATTTACAATAAAGGGAGTGCCACAAACCAACAAGGACAGAATTAGTGTTAAATGTAAAAAAATAAAAAATGAAAGCATAAAACAGCTTTAAGAAAATATAGGCAAAAGTTTAACCTCAAGATTGGAAAGAACTTTCTAAGCATAAAAGCAATGGAAACAAATCATAAAGGTATTGCTAGATTTGACTCCGTTGAGAGGCTGACCAGTTAGTTGGTTAGAGTGTGGTGTTATAACGCCAAAGTCAAAGGTTTGGATCCCCATGCTGGCCATTTGCCCCGCCAAAAAACAACTCCTAGGGGCAGGGAATATAGCAGTGAACAAAACTGATTTGACTCCTTCGAATTTATTGGCAAACAAACTGGGAAAAGTATTTAAAACAAATAATTGATGTCAGTATGCTATAAAGAACTCTTATAAATCAATCCAAAAACACCAAATACTCAAAAATAAAAATGGAAAAAAGATATAAACAGAAGATATATGTATGAATAATAAATATATGAAAACATGTTCTAACATACTAATAATCAATAAAATACAAACTTTTAAATAAATGAAATTGAAGATTAAAAAACACACTGAAATTCTCAATGCAGATTTGATGTGATGATGCCCACACTCTCCCATACTGCAGATGAGATAGTAAACTTCCTTTCTGGAAAGTACTTTGAGTCTTTTAAACATATCTTTTAAATGAATTGAAGAAGCAGCAGCAAACTGAGAAACAACACATGTTTAAGTTGAATATCTGTACAGGTATGGCCCCTGCTCTGGATTCAGGGAGCTATTCCACTCCTTGCTCAGTTTCCTCATTCATAAAATGAAGAGGTCTTCTCTGCAGCATGGCGCTCCAGGCCCCTGGCGGCTGGTCTCACCGCCCAGTGGGGAAGACATATAAGGAATTTGCATAAGACAGTTGTGCACAATGGAGCTGGAAGAGCCTTATTTGTGCACAGTGATACTCCTGAGAATAACTCAGACACTCCATTTGATTTCACACCAGAAAACTATAAGAGGATAGAGGCAATTGTAAAAAATTATCCAGAGGGGCATAAAGCAGCAGCCATGCTTCCAGTCCTGGATTTAGCCCAAAGGCAGAATGGGTGGTTGCCTATCTCCGCTATGAACAAGGTTGCAGAAGTTTCACAAGTACCTCCAATGAGAGCATATGAAGTGGCAACTTTTTATACAATGTATCATCGAAAGCCAGTTGGAAAGTATCACATTCAGGTCTGCACTACTACACCTTGCATGCCTCGAAACTCTGACAGCATACTGGAAGCCATTCAGAAAAAGCTTGGAATAAAGGTTGGGGAGACTACACCTGACAAACTTTTCACTCTCATAGAGGTGGAATGTTTAGGGGCCTGTGTAAATGCACCAATGGTTCAAATAAATGACAACTACTATGAGGATCTGACACCTAAGGATATTGAAGAAATTATTGATGAGCTCAAGGCTGGCAAAATTCCAAAACCTGGGCCAAGGAGTGGATGCTTCTCTTGTGAGCCAGCTGGAGGTCTTACCTCATTGACTGAACCACCCAAAGGACCTGGCTTTGGTGTGCAAGCAGGCCTTTAATTTACATTCAACTGTAAATATGTCACAGAGAGATAAAATATGAACCTCCTAAAAAAAATTTTTTTTAATTTAAAAAAATAGAATGAGAATTAATAGTACAGGTACTAATCTCACAATGCATACAAGTCATTTAGCATCCTCTAAAGGATAAGTAAATATTAACTATTATTAAAACATATACAAGCATAAATATATATAAATGTGTACAAGGGGTCTTCAAAAAGTTCATGGGAAAATTTGTATTATCTTTTAAATCTATTTTTTCACAATCTTTTTGAAGGACACTCATACGTACATATGAAAAGTTCATAAATTTGACCCATTCAACTTCTAGGAATTTATCCTAAGGAAAATTCAGGCATTCAGACAAAAATTTATATACAAGAATGTGCATCACATCTTTATTCGTAGAACCAAAAACCATGGAAACAACATTAATATCTAGCAATGGGAAAATAAATCAATTATAGACATTTGAATGATGCTAAAGTATTATACAATCTTTAAAAATAATTGTGTTTTTGAAGTCAGTTTAACAAGGAAAAATGCTAACAAGTGAAAATAAGCAGAGTATAAAACTGACTATATAGTAGGATCAAATTTTGAAAAACTACTTAGAATGTAAAAAAAAAATTTTTTTTTTAATTTTTTGAAAAACTAATTTATATACATTTTGTTTATAGAGGTGTTTAAGAAAAAGGTCAATTAAAATATTGACCAATAAAAACATTAATAATGTTTATCTCTTCACAGTGGGATCATGAGTTATTTTTCCCTTATATTATTTAGTATTTTACACATTTTTATAATGAATATGTATTACTCCCATTATCATGTAATTTGAAAGGAAAGACATTATATATATACACATCATTAATGATCGGTTGCTTAACTATGTTACTAGGCTTCCCTAAGTGCTCGTTTTACTGCCATATTCAATGTAGGACCAACTCACTTGTATGCACATTTTAGGCACTCAGTAATTTATAGGTTGAATCGTAATCAGAAGAGTCTGAAATTCTTTCATCATAAGGTATAAATGATTCCTAAATCTTAGTGTTACCACTGCCAGAAGTATTCACATTTAAATTAATCAATGTTCCCCCAACAAAGATTTATTAGGATCTGGTGCACAAAAAGGCCTTGTTCTAGGTGCTATGGGGATTACCTAGAAGCAGTTCTTACCTTTTCAATGCTTATAGTCTAATCTAATTGCCCAGTAGATCAGGACAGCAGAAGAAGCAAGAAGAGAACTACATCCATTGAGGTATTATTATATGTTAGACACTGTGTTAGGCAATTTACATATATGAAATTCTTACAACAAATCTTTGAGGCAGAATTTTCATTCACATTTTATAAATGTGGAAATGGAGGCTCAGATAAGTTAAGTGACTTATCCACTTTCACACAGGCAGATCTGGGATCCCAACCCTGAAACTTCTGGGTCTGACAACACTGTGGGGGTGTGGGGTTTGGGGGTGTCTGTGCTTACAGTGCTAAGCAATATCAGGTAGGTGCCATAGTAATGGTGCAAAATATTATGGGAGAGTCAGCAGAGAATGGTTAAGAGCCCGGACTCTAGAAATGACTGCCCAGGTTTGAATCCTGGCTATTCACTTACTAGCTGTATACTCTTGGGCAAGTTACTTGTCTGGGCCTCAGTGTTCCCATCCATAAAATGGAGAGTCATACCTAGCTCAAAGTGTTGCTGTAAAAATCAAATGAGTTAATACAAGTAAAGGGCAGTGTCTAGCACCTACTGCAGTCAATATATATTAGATATTGCTATAGAAAATCGGAGGAGAGAGAAATCATATCCAGCTGGGACTGGGTCAGGAAAGGCTTTATGGAGGAGGTGACATTAAAGAAAAGGTTGAACATTAATGAAGAGTGATGAATGAGGGGATGGGGAAGGAAATGATGAAAGGTAAGGGAGGTGGGAAGGCTCAGGTTGTATGGAACCATGAATAGATAGAAGAGGGGTGGCAATATGGCAGTGGGAGCCACTGAAAGATCGATCTCCAAAGAGAGACAGGGGGCAAGATGTGGAGGGCCTTGAATACCAAATTAAAAACTCTGGAGTTAACTACTTGAATATGGGAGCCATTAAAGGTTTTTGAGGAAGAGGAAGATAAGGTCTTCTGCAGCCGTCAAGCCTGAGGACTTTGCAGTTCTATCCTAGAGTGTTACCAACTTCAAAAAGCAATAACTCTCTGAGGACTAATGTTTTCACTGAGGGAGAGGAAGAGGGGCAAGAAGGGGAGAGGTGGAAAAAAGAGAGTGAATGACTAAAAGACAGTAGGTGGGAAGGGGAGATGAAACGTGTGCCTGGTGGGAAGCGGTAGACAGGACGTCTTCCCTAATTCCTCATTCCTGGGTCCGCTCAGTGACTGAACTCGAAGCATAACCTACCTTCTTCCCATTTAAAATCTGAAGTTATCGCCTCAGTTTAGGGTTTTATTTAACTCTGAGACTGTTCTTTTGGCCTGTAAAGAGCAAGCGTAGGGCATTAGGACCCAGCGATTGTTGTAGTGAGAGTGGTTGAATCTCGATCTCTCAATTTTTCTCCCGAGCTCCCTCCTCTCCCTTTGTCATTCTAGCTGTCTGCTGCCTCCGCAGCGTCCCTGTAGCTCGCCCTGTGCTAACTGCCTGCGCCTCCGACAGACCGGGTGCGCAAACCAGAAGGATTAGTTGGGACCTGCCTTGGCGACCCCATGGCATCCCCCAGAACGGTAACTATCCTGGCCCTCTCAGTGGCCCTGGGACTCTTCTTTGTTTTCATGGGGACTATCAAGTTGACCCCCAGGCTCAGCAAGGATGCCTACAGTGAGATGGTAAGTGAAGCAAATGGGTGATGAGGGGCGCACCCCCATAGGATTGCAAGTACCTCTCCTCTTTCCTTCCTCGGTGCCCGGTCCCATTCCCTTAACCCCTACCCCCATCTCGGACCCTGCCTTCTCCCCGTCAACTTTGCAGCTCGCAGGGAGCAGCTGGGGAAGAGCGATTGCATTTGTGGGCTATGCCGGGAGCAACTGTTCTGAAGCCACTGAATGCCAGTTGGGGGAAGGGCTGCCCAGCGAGTACCCCCACCCCAAGTAAACGAAAGGCTAAGACCTGCGTGGCACCTGTCATTGGCAGGAGCCTTCCCTTCTTTCAGCACACACCCGAAGTCCGGGCAACCAGTCTGCAAGTCTGATTCCTTCTCTTAGAACTAAGAGTTTTAGCAAGAACAAAGGGGAAAGAGGTAAAGAGCTGTGAGAATGGGCTACTACAACAAGCCATGTGTAGGGGTTGGATAGGTATTTCTCATCCCAGGTGGAGAGCTGATAGTATTCCTCCAGCTGCCTGGCCATGGATCTGGATCCTTGAGACAAAGCAATCTTGGCCCAAAATAAGAGCTGGATGTTTTGTTTTCTTTTGCCTCGTGTGTAGGCTAATCTACCAAATCTGCAAAGTCTGCTTTTTCTTTCCTGTAAAATAGCCTATAATCCCACCTTGCCTCCTATGGATGTCCAGGGCCAGGCCCTCTGCAGGTTTTCCCTCTGCAGAGTTGGAATCACCAAAGGTGACTGGCCAAAACATCTCCTCTGCAACCTGGGGGCTGGGCTGCTTTCCCCAGTTGGGTGTGATGAGCACTTGCTCTTATGCTGTGGAGTACTAGGAGATGGCAAGGGATGTTTCCAGCAATTTCGGTCTCGCCTCTTCCGTTGTCACTTTGCCTCTTCGTTTCCCCACCCCAGCTTCAGGGAACCTGCTTCTCACAGTCTTTGCCAGACTGCTAGTAACAGGAGGGAGCACATTGCTGGGCTCTCAAGGTCAAGAAGGAGCAGAGCTTATGGGAGGAACAGAAGGGTAGAGAAAAAAGAGACAAGAGGGACTCCCTGTTAGGATTGAGGCAGGAAGGAATAGCCTCACACATTGAGAGGAATTAATAGCTCTCCCTGAAGCTACTGCAGAGCTTTCCAGGGCCCCTCAACGAGAGCTGCAAATGGATGGAGACTGACAAATTGTAGACGCTCAGAAAATGTTTGCAGGCAGCTCTGGCTTCTGTCTCAGGGTTTGAGCTGGAGCTTTCCATGTCTTCCTCACCACAGGATCACCCTAGAGTGGAGGAGGGTGGCTGGGACTCAACGGCTTAGGTCTAGCCCCAGTGGCAAATCCTAATATGCTTCTCCTTCTCCCCTCCCCTCTTCCCAGCACGTTTGACCAGATGGAATTGAAATCAGGTCAAAATGAGTATCCGAGGCAGCCTGCATGGGTGAGAGGAGGAACGGGGTGGGGTGGCAGAAGCCACCAAAGGGTTTGAAGAGGTTTGGGGCATAGGAACGGGGTGGAGGGAAAATGCCACTATATTTTTGTCTTGGTGGTAGTAGTTTGGTGTTAGATTATAAATAAATGAATATGCTCTTGCTGTACTTTTTCATCTGTACACATATCTGTGTGTGTGTCCTATAGGTATTTTTAAGCTTTTACTTAGGAACATAGTACCCTTCTTCAGTGTACTCCCTGCCCTCCAGACCCTGCTCAGCTGCTTTAGAGGCCCCCAAACTGCACCCTAAGTATGGTCTTATGCTCTGCAGGCAATCCAACTAGGATGGAGTCACGGGGAAGCTTCCTACCAGGTTGGCAGGAGCCACAAATGGGTTTACAGTAGGTTTCTTCCTAGGGAGTGGAGCTGTCTATTGCAGCCTAATGAAAGGCAGAAGAAACAAATATGATTTCATATTATACATAGAAACATATTTATAAATAGGTATAATCTAATACAGCAGTATAGAATCACTGTGTGTGTATGTGTGTGCACACACACACTTCTGTGTTTCTGTGCTCAGGGCATTTGGAGGAAATAGAAAGACTATATCTAACTGGGAGGTAGATGTCACAGTGGTATGAAGCTTGGAGAGGATTTTCAGACTGTCCTTTTCCAGGGTCCCCTCCTGCATTGAGCATCCAGCCATAGGCTGGAGATGGCTCTCTGCCATAGTACTCACTGTATAGTGCCTGGGCTTGGCTCACCTTTATTCTTAAACCCATAGGAAAAGGGGGTGGGGAGAG